CCTTTTGTTTTTTTTTTTTTTTTTTTTTTTTTTTTTTTAATTTGACAAGAGAGAGAGCGAGAGAGAGCGAGCGAGCAAGCCACCAGGTCCAGGACTTGAACCATGGTCAGCCACTTGGGAGCGTCCAGCGCCTTAACAACCACGCCACCCCGCTGGTCCCCGACACCTCATTAACTTTTGCTTCTGAAGGTGACTGCTGAACAAATGTAATAGGATCATATTTTTAGTGGGGGGAAAAAGTGTCAGTTTAATAGATCGGTATTATCTTGTTAAGACATTATTGGTATGTTGGTATTCTAGACTAGAATTTTAATATTAATAAATATTTGGAGGAAAGTAAGTTAAATATAACATTTTAATCTAGGAAGGAGTTTCTTAAATTGTACACTAGCTTTTAGCTTTTCTCTGCCCTGGGGGAAAGACCCACCGCCACTATGAATAAAAGCTGACATTTCTGTTAGGAATTGTATTGCACTGAAGAGTTCATGTCCTTGACAGGTCTTAAGAGGCAGCCCAGCCTCCTCTCATCAGCTTTTCTCATTTTTGCCACTGCCAATACCCTAAAGTGCTATTTTGTCATTGGCAAGTTACAGGCGCTTCATCCTGGCTTGAGTTTAAGCACTAAAAAGTTTAAAATTACTAGAACATTTGGTAAAAACTGTCAAATTATATTAAGAACATTCCACAGATATTCCAAATAGATACTTTTTACCAGTGTTTGTTTAGTTTTTTCTTTCTTCATAGACCCAAATAGCCACACCTCATAAAGAACGGAAGGATTGTTCAACAGTCACAGGTTCATGAATATTATCAAGTATGGGGAGGTGTCCTCCCTCAACAGAATAAACTCTTCCTCACCAGCAGAGCAGTGGTGGTTTGGGTTAATAAGGGAACTGTTTAAATCTTCTTACTGAGAAATGGCTCTTCGTTTATTTGGAGATTCTATCTCTCAAACATTCTGAGGATGGTTAAGTACTTTGGCACCTTATTTCACAACACACCCTTTCCTTTTTTTCCTTGGGATGTTGGCATTACAGAGAATACCTAGACTGCCCTCTGGGATCAAGTAAAGACTTTCCACAGCTGTTAGCTTCCTGTTTCCATCTCTAGCTCTTCCTGTTTCCAACTTTTATGTGAAAGAGAAGTATAGACAGTCTAGTTTTTTCTCACAGAGAAGTCTCAGCTCAGATTCAGACCTTCTAAGAACTTCCATGGTTGTTTCTTGGACCTTACAGTTTTCAGGTATTGTTTGAAATTTTATTCTCAGTTTTATCTTCCCTCCTATAGTAGGTACTATCAGCATTTTCTCCTTGTCATCACCACTGCACTTGGCACTTAACAGATGTTTAGGAAATGTTTGTAGATTAGAGGGTTGAGTAGACTATAGGGGAGATGTCCTTAGGGTCCCTGACCGGGCATTAGACTGTTTTCAGATCTTATTTATGAATTCAGATAGATTCTTGTGAACCTGTTCTGTTAGGAGCAATGTCATAATGTTGATCTAGGAAGGACTAGTGTTGTATCTAAATGCTACAG